GACTTGCAGTTTTGGTGTACAAACCACCATATATCCACTAAAAAGCCTTTCATTCATAGCAATCACAGTAGTTTTATATGTTTATAATTAGAAATTTAAAGAGATTTGACTTCTCTTTACAGAGGGGAAATACTTAGTGTGTAATGAAACAAATTATACAGATCAAATAGCTGGATTAGCCTGCAAACAACCACTATTCCCTCTATAGTGTCAGTTTTTAGCATCTAGCATTAACAACTTTCTGCCTGGTCTAAATTAGCTACAGTAACTCACCAGTCTGAAAGACACCTAGATAAAGACGGGCTAAAGATAAAGGTGAGCTCCTCCTCAGATGTGCCAAGCATGCCTTGATTCCAGACCCATTTCAAGATCAGTAAGTTTTTTAATTACTTCAGCAGCTTTTGCACATAGAATCCTAGCAACGACTTGTAAGCTTTTAGTAAATGTGACATCTCTACTCGTGATCTGACTAGAGCTGAGACAAGCAGATGAATAATCATCATTGTCTGCAAACATGTTTTTTCTTCTTATGACACATCAAGCTTATGACACATAAAGCAGTCATAAGATCATAAAGTTGTGTTACAGTCCTGAGATTTATGGTGAGTTGCTCAATTTACCATTGAAGGAATATTAGTCCATAAATAATGCATTTAATCATCTGCTTGACTGAATTATTCTTGCCAGAAATGTTCTTGTTAATTATGGTCTTTTCTACTGATTCTAAGGCTTCTGAATTCATCTTAACAGCATGTAGAATCTGTATCCTGTTAAAATACTTTCCAGCAGTTAAAACATATTTGTGTGACACAATTGTCTGTGTTTGTATTTTAACCTTCCATAATTATATGGTTTCCATGCACACAAATGAAATCCTAGCAATCCTATATTAACCCTAAATGACCTACCCACAATGCACTCTATGAATGAAAACCATTTTTCCTAACAAAACAATACAGTTTTTAACAAGACAATGGGTGGAGTTAAAAAAAAATCAGAAATGGAAGATAAAAGCAAAAGCAAAGTTATACCTTCAATAAATGATTTTGCAAAGCATCTTGTTTCTATATAAATCTAGACAAATATTATGATTAAAGACATCTGCTAATGATGAGCTAAAATTCTAAGCTTTATTGCTTAACTTACCTCTGTAGATAGATTTCCTCTCCTATATATAAGCATAAGACCAGTGCCCTGTTGTCCCTGGGTAAAACACATCCCAACTGGACAGTCTTGGCCTTCCCTGGAGATTGTAGCCTAGTTTTCACATGAGTATTTTTGTCAAGAAACTACCTGATTCATTGAAGAGGAAACTCTAAGTATGAATTAACATCTCTGCAATGTGAACTATGTAATGATGAAAGAATAGACAGCAAAAAAACTTGAAAATGTGTATGTGCCTTTTGTGACATAAAGACCAACTGATTGTCCAACAACTTCAAATTATATAGGGATAATTCAAGGCTCTCTGTCCCTATGGAGCATCGTTTCTGTAAAGCCTGATTATTTTCAACTCTGTCCAGTCTGAATTCTCATGGATATGTCCATCACTCACTACACTTAAGTATACAAGCCTCATAAGTGTTTCTATTCCTCAGTTTCCCACTGATTCTCACAAAATGTTTATAGCTGATGGTAACCAAAAATAAGTTTAAAAAAATTCTGTCTTCATTTGTGATTTAACTCTAAGTTTTGCAAAAGCATACAAAAATGTATGCTTTGTAATACGTTAACTTGTATCTGAGATTAAACTGAATACACATTCTGGGTTCCCAGAATCTGGGTTGTTGGACATATTTTATAAAATTAGTGAAGGTTGCAGCACTAGTCCCTGGGGGTGCTCTTTCTTTCAATCAGAGACATGAAGAATCAAATAAATACATGTGGATTCATCCCAATTCTGTATAGAATTGGAAGCCTCGCTAGAAACTGTGATAAGATTGTTTAACTGAAGACTTTTACTAAGAGACCATAATACTCCTTCAGCTATCTTCTGACCAGTGGTGATTTTCATAGGCTGATGGAGAGATTCCTTGTCTCTTAAAACATTCGAAATGTAACTTGTGTTTTTGCTAGTTATCCAGATGGGAAAGGTGGGATTAGAATTCCTCTTAGGAAGAAAATAAATACTTGGTACTGGAAATACAAGAATGCAAAAATTGCCATTAAAGTGTAGACTAGATTTCAGTGAGCATATAAATCAAAAAGGTTGTTAAAACTTCCTTCTCAGATAAACAAAACCTAGACTTTTTTACAAGTTGACACAACAGCAGCAATTTATTTTATTTTAAAAAATAACATCATTAACAAATCATCTGTCCTTGACAGAAAATTGGCAAGTTATTTATTACACAATGTACTTAACAAATCTGTGCACAAGGCTCCAGAGAACAAAAGTAATATTGACTATAAAATCTAGTATTAAAAAAAAAAATAATCTCTGCTATTAATTGTAAATTTCAGTGTGGGATGATTAAAAACAAATGGGTTTGGAGGAACAGTTTTTTAAATGGAGACATCAAGTCTGTGTTTGAATTCTGTAATGTTTACTCCAAATGTCAGAAATTCATCACATCTTTGAATAGAGATTGTGTTGTTACTAAGTTTGATTTGTATTGATTTGTATAAAACATTTATCTAACCATTAAATATAAAAAGTAATGCAAACGGTACAATAACTTTATCTCATGTCTCTTCTCAGTATCTCAGTTTGTGATTATACCCTGGGTCACTGCAGTACACTGTTTTTCAGATTTCATATTCAATACTATCTTTTAATGAAAATCTGTATATATCTTTATTTCACATATATTTGTATATCATTATCCTCTGTACAATTTAAGAAATACATACTACAGGATACTTTGAGAGCTGCAGAGTCCATGCTGGGGTTCTTAGACATCTCAGAGCACGAAACCTTCATGGAGGGGTTGTGGAAAGCAGCAGAAGGACTGCCTCCACTTCCAAAGGACAGGCTGATGACCAGACTGTCCTGAGAGGCACAATGTGCTCAAGATGCTTGATCCCTGGGCATGAAGGTGCTAAATTGGTACACATTCCTCATGCTATGATTAAAACCCTCTCTGTCAGAATACTCCCTCCATACTTTCACAGGACAAATCCTCAATGCTTCTATAGCTATCTGGATGTCTAGAAGACACCTGTGACTTGTGTATTGGGGGCCAGTGTTGAGGTTTTTGTAGAGGGAGGCTCGCAGAGTTGCTTCTGTGAGAAGAAATTTGGGGACACCCCATGCTGGAAGCCCCATGGCAGCTCCAACAGATACACCAACAGACACCATCAGCCAGACTTGTGATGCCTCAGGGAAAACACATTTAAGAAAGGGCAAGATACCAAAAAGAGAGGAGAAGGGAAGATGAAGAGAAGGAGTAAATGGGGAGAGGAGGAGGAAATCTGAGTGACATAACATATGCAACAGGAGGAGGAGATGCTCTGTGGCAGAGTAGATGTTCCTGAAAGATGGCAGACCAGGAGGCTCCCACATCAGACCATAGGAAATAAGCTAGAAGGAAGGAGTGACAAAGAGAAGTCCCCATGTCCAGACTGCAACCTGCACCCTTGTGGTGGTTTGAAGCTGGTTCCCTGCCAAGTGTCCAAACCTCACCACACCTTATCTGGTGTTTCTTCCTGGTTTGTTTTGGTTTGCCATGATTGTTGTGGGAACAGAGTCTGGGAAAGGAGCCAAGTTGCTATAAACTTAGCCATTGTTTTGGGACACTGCCGGGAGAGCTGCCAAGAGGCTTTTGTTTATATAAACATACCTATTGTTTGGGAACAAAGGGAAAGAATATATAAACATGGCCTTTTTATTCATTTTTTTGGTCATTCTGGCCATTTTTATATATGTTTCTGGATATCCTGTGAAAACTAACCCGGAAGGCATCTACCAATTCCTGCCTTTCCTCAATTGTGACATCAAGGGCCTAGTAACGGAGGTCCCTAGGATTAGAATTGGCCCCAATCCTCACCTAAATTGTTAGCAACGGTGCTATTATGGATAAAGGCCATGGAAGTGCTATTTAACATTGGAAAGGTGGTGTGGTACTGCAGGAAAGGCCGAACCTCAAAAGGATTCGCTGGAACTTTGGGAAGGGCCTTGAAAAAGCCAGTTTCTGGATGGCAAGGAATGTGGGCAAATTTTGGCAAATTGGTAGGATGTGTGACACCTCCCATTAGTTGGAGCTTCACACCAGAGCAAGTGTTTGATCCTGATGAGATTGCACATCATTTAGCAGAAGGGTGTTTTTCTTATGAGGACCAAAATATGCAGTTTTTTGCTTTGTACTGGGGCCTGGCGAGTGCCTATCAAGCTGCTGTGGACTACTCTCGGAAGGCTAAGGTTGATGCAGAAACTCAAATCATGTCACCTGAGACCAGAGCTGCCTCTATTACGTCCACTGAAAGTGGAACTCAAACTACACCACCTGAGATACCTCTTGCCCCTGTAGGGACAAGGAAGTCATGGATATCGATGCCCGACAGCGTAAGTCTACGACCAATGAGAGATCAAAGCAAATCAGATGGAGATCAAAGCAAATCAGATGGAGATGAAAGCAAATCAGATGGAGATCAAAGCAAGTCAGATGGAGATCAAAGCAAGTCATATGGTAATGGGGAGGGGATCGATACTGATACCAGTGCCAGAACTCCACCTCCACCTCTACCAAAAGTAAAACCCCCGAGAATGGAAACTGAAGTTTTGCGATTAATAATCCCGGCAGAACTCCAAGACTTGCGAAAAGATTACACTCGTCAGCCTGGTGAACGCGTTCTATCATGGCTGCTCCGATGCCGAGACAGTGGGGCTAGAGCTCCCTCACCCCCAAAACCAAGGGAAAAGAAAAAAAAAAAAGAGAACTGTAACTAGAGAGACACAGCTAAAGCAATATATATAAATATATTTACACTTATATTACATTTATATACAATTGAAATATATGTACAATTCCAAAAAGAAAAGGGAAAGGGAAGGGGAAAGGGAAAAAACCAAAAAAACCCAAACAAAATAGATATACACGTGATCAGAAACTCAAGATCTAGCAAACTAAAGAATTAGCAAAAGAATATCTTACTACTCTCCTTGGGACAACAGAAATCACACTGGAACAACTGCTGGCAACCTCCATCTCCCAAGGTCGATAAGGTCTTACCAGGCCTCACTACTCAACATGGCAGAACCGACAGCAGGGAACCTGCACCTCCAGAGCCACTGGAAGGAAAGAAAGCAAAGGTCTCTCCTCCTTTCTTCTTATACCCCTGGTTTACATAAAAATCGTAGGGTATACCAGGTAATCTGGCCACTTCCTTGGTTACAAACTGGTCACCAAGGAAGGCCTAGACTAAAACTACCACAACCCTGCATCACTTTTTGTCTGAATGAAGGCACTACTGAATGCACCCTGTGGCAATAACCATGCAGAGAGGAGTGATGTCTGAAGGGAAGCTGAGCCTGGGAAAGGAGGAGGAATGTGTTTTGCCTAAGTGTTCTAAGTTTGTGTCTTTTTTTGTTTGTTTCCCATACCCAAATCAGTAACTAAATATTTATATTAATTGACAATAAATTAAGTTCTTTCCCCTAAGCTGAGTCTCTCTTGCCCATGACAGTAACTGGTGATTTTCCTGTCCTCATCTCAATCCATAAGCTTTGTAGCTTCTGTCCTTCCAATCCTCTCCCCTATCCAAACAAAAGAGCAAACTACTGGCTGGGTGCTTGTCTGCCACCTGGTTCCAACCCACCAAAGCTATTTAACCAATCAGAGACAGATAAGGCCAAGAAGGACAAGTAAAAATGCCAACTCAGAACCAGGGGTGATTTATGGGATTGTCATCTAGCTCTATCAGACTTACAGCCCTCTTATTAATGGCTATGCTATACAGAACCAGTGAATTGAGACAGCTATTTGGTTGTACATTTACCCAGGAATTGAACAGAGCTCATGAGCTGAAAGTGTTCAGGTTCATAGATTCGCAGGTTTAAAACTGGAGCGTGAGCAGGGGAAGGATGAGAATGTGCAGGAGAGATGAGAAATCTCCATGAGTAGTTTGTAGAGTAAAATCCCAAGACGTGAGAAACAGACTACTAACCCTCCTTCCTGTAACCAGCTAGCCATAAGAGAGATAAAAAGAGCATGAAACTTTCCCTAGGAGCTGGAACAAAATGAACTATTAGATTCTCTTCATCCCCTAACAGAGTCAGGAAATCTAGCCAGCTGTGCAAAGCATCACACTGCCTGAAAAGGTAAGATTGCACTTAGTCTCTCTCATTGAAGAAGTTAGTCCTAAGACACAGTTTTGTCTGTAAGGCATAGGTAGTACCAGGCACAGACAATAGAGTTATCTCCAAATCAGCTATTTGTTGACACAAAGGCAGTACAAGGTGAGTAAGTTGGGACTAGAAAAAGCCTGGATTCTGTAGAATTATTCTATTTCATCCAGTAGCCAAAAGTCCAAGTCAAACAGCCAATGAATATCCTAAAACAATCTCTACAACTCATAGGCAGTGACTTCCACACATAAGATGCACTGGGTCTATATGCTATGCTCATAACCTTGACTTAATAGTCATTACAACAAGCTCTAGATTCATTATGCATGCCACAAATTAATTTTATGACACGTGCATATATGCTGTGATGCCTTGAACTCACTGTTCCTGCTTCAAAGATGATTTCTCCTCATGATGCACATCTTGCTCAGAACAAATCAGAACTATATAAACAATCGCAAATCATCTGTGTGCAGTAGGAAGTATAGCTCTAGATGTCTCAGCTACTTGGCATGAGCTTCGTGGCATACACCTACATTTTTCAGCCAAAATGTGTTGGCTGAATAGTTCAGCCAAAATAATAGTTCAGGCAGGGAAACTTCAGATGTCTGAGGAGTAGACCAAATTATCAACTCTGCTGCTTCTGGGATAAATACTGTTATTCCTATACAGGAGAGCATTGTGCCCTATAAGCACCCAGATCACACAGCACTGCATCATGTAATAAGCAATGTGAGATAAAGACTTTAAAAGTTTTAAAACATAGAGACTTGTGTCTGAACCGTGAAGTCTGTATCTTCTCTATGCTATGAGCTCCCCAGGACTCCTACTTACGATGACATTTTGTATAACACTGAGTGTCCCATTCTTGCTCCTATTTGGAAATTCAGAGATGTCTGCTTTTGAACAATAAAGGTCTGAGTGATAGATAATTGCTATGGGTATATTTGGGGCATCCTTTCATCACTTGAGTGCAGCAATACTTTTTCCTTTACTAATCGTATTTTTTCATCCAAGTGTATTTGTAATACAAGAGCTAGAAGTACCATGAGAAATCTGAGGGCATTAGGTCTCTCAGTCTCCAGAGGAAATATGATGTTAGAACTGTAAAGCCATCATATAAACAGTACATTTCTGTTGTAGCTAGTGATGAACTGAAAGCTAAAATAGAAACAAACTCTTTGTGCAGGAAAGCTTGTTAAACGATTGAATTTATTGTGAGCATAGGACAGAATCAAAAGAATGAAAACCTGTCTTTGGTGGAAGAGAAAGCCTATTGCCTATTAAACTATCTTCATGTATATAATGTTCAGAGAAGTTAGTCAGAAGATAACCTCCTATACTTATAACTTAACACAGAAATTAGGGATTTTATTTTATGACTATTCAATTTCTCTTTCTAATATGAAATGCAGCAGCCAATACCCTGTGCTTTAATAAACAGATGCCAACTTTGTTGTAAAAGTTTAATTTAATCTTTAACAAGGACAAACACATGCCTTCAGTGCAACTTGAGTTTAGCAGCGTTCCTGTTCATGGATGATTCTCATCTTCCGTTATAGCTGAGATCATTTCTAGTAAGGAATGCCAAAAAACCAGCAAATGTTAGACATGAGTTTTGTCTGAGTGCTTTCAGTGCTAAGTCCAGGAGTATCCTCTGACTGGCTGACCAGCTAACTGAAATACACAGGTATCTATTACTTCTATTAAAAAGATTAGACATTTCAGACTTAAAACTCTGTGTATTTTGCCAGACCAAATACCACCCTCTGTTATGCTCTTTCTCAGAGAGGAAAATCTGGCCACTTACAGTTAGTATGAGCCACACAATAGACATGCCAGGTCTGCAGCTGAAAATCTGGAATTATCTTATAACAGCAGCAGAAATATTTAGGGATGAGTGATTGTAAGAAAGGACTCAGGAGACTGGCAGCTTTCAGCAGGAGTTTGGCCAAGCTAAACAGAAAGTAGAAAATGCTCTTCAGTCATTGCAACATATTCCCACACCCCCTCCTGCTTACACATGTTTAACAAACTCAGTTTTAAGACGTAAGAAAATAGATGTTCAGACAAAACAGAGCTTCACATCCAATTCACGGGGATTTTTTTCTTCCAGGTGGAGTGTAGAAAGGAGTAACAAGGAGCAGCTAAGATGGCATTTCTAATACAGTGGCTTTCAATCTGTGGCCTGTAAGTCCATGGACTTTCTACAGAAATGCAAAATTGACAAGGCAATTCTCAAGTCGGAGGAATTGGATATGCTATGATTCACAGCTTCACGGGAAAAAGATTTAAGTTCTGCTAAGAAAAAAAAGTAATGTGATGAAAACCACTGTTCTAGCCATCTTCTGTAGACACAAGAGTGTTAGAAAGAGGAAAGAGTATACATAAAACTTAGCTGAATGTTACTCAGTCTGGAAAAATAAGCAGGTGCTATTTTCTAAGAAAAGTAGCTAATAATGATAGGAAAACTGGTTGGTCACTTTAGAGAGAAGCATGGGAGCAGGTCTTTGAGGTTGTGCTGTACCCACAATTTCTATCTGGAAAGGAAAATACAACTATGGTCTTATCTGCTTGGGGTTTTTTCCCGCTTTTCACACATCCCAAAGGCTAAACTAATTTTTTTAATGAGAAGATCATACAATTTCTGCCATTCATGCCCTGGTGATCTCTAACTTAAACTACTAGGACAGCAATTCTGACAGAACTAAGTTGTAGGCATATTTGAGAACTCTGTCTAGTGCAGAATTCAGGAAGTATCTTCTACATGGCACCTCTTTCAAACAATGCACAGAATAAGCAATACTGGACATTCATTGGCTCTTTAAAAGATAGTACTTCAGGCATCAGCTCTGCTCTGCCATTCCACAGAAATGCTGAATGATTCTCTCCATTGACCTACTTGTACAGGTATTATCAGAGACTGTATCTTCTGTGGTGACAGATTCATGAGCAAAGGAAGGATGTAGCAGAGCTTTGCATAAGGCTACCTGATATTTAGAGATTTATTTTTTTTCCTTCAGACTAAAGTTATGCTAATTTTCTCATCTTTAGGACATCGTGTTTCCCTATCTGACAAATATTTGGTTAATCATTGCTTTAATTTAGTTAATATAACCTGCATTATTAGGAAACAAGCTGTGGATGCTGAGTACTGTATCAAAAACAACAGCATTTCTATGTTAGAAATCTGTGAGAAAATATTTTTGTTGCCTTGCTTAGCAATAAGCAATAATATTTGTCTTATTTTGAATCTAACAAACTCACCCCTCCCTTCACACTCTCTTCTGCATATGTAGAAGTACTTAGAAGACATTAAATATTTTAAGTCCTTAGTTACCAGAAAGTAGGATTGCATAGACTGTGACAGTAATCAATTTCTCAAGACTGTGAATAAGACTCATTAAATTAGCTAGTTATAAGCTCTTTCCAGGCCATTTTCCTGGATGATGACAGATAAACAAGAGAGTAAATTCTTAAACCAAAGAATATATTCACAACAGCAGCTAACTTTTAGATATATTTCAGAGCCTTTATCCTGAAGTTGAGAACTTAAAATGGTGAGAAATTTGAGGTGGACATTAGGAAGTAGTATGGGACCTCATGCTTACCACCCAAAGGAAACTAAAGGTGGGACAATCAAGCAAGTTACCACAACTTCACATGAGCAGTTATGCTGTACCTGGTAATCTCTGCGGCAAAGAGGAGCTGAAATATTTAAACTTCAATGAAAAAGATTTCCTTTCTCACTCTGCTTCACAGTTGTAAGAGATGAAAGAGATGAGTTATCAAAGCCCATTTGACATATAATTGCTCATGAAGCCATAGGCACTCATCAGTTAATGTCAGCCCTTAAATACCTGCCCTTCAACCAATGTTACAGTCAAAGAATTAAGCATAAGCTGCAGTTTCACAAACAGGTGGTTGTAGCCATTAACCCCCTTCATAGCCTGCAGCTTGCTGGTCAGGAAAGATACCAGGGAGTTGGAAACCCAGGATCAAGACCTTCTTTCAGAAAAAACCCTCATTCTCTTAAGGGTACTGAAGGCAGGTATGGGGCAGAAGAGAAGGAAGTCCCTCTCACACCTTCCGACTGAATGCAGGCTACTGTCCGTGATTAGTTAAAAATCTTCTGGACCTAAGGGATGGAAAAAATGAGGTGAAATAATATGACCCTATAAGCTGGTTGATTAGAGATGGATCCACATTTCTGTCCCATCAGTGTCTCATATAAAACTTTCCAATAACACTTTGGAAACAGTTATCAAACAAAAATTCAAATCAAAGTAGGCTTACCCTTAACTGAAATTATTTTAAAAGAGGAACCTACAAAGAAAATACTAAGAGATTTCAAGCAAATTGAACTTTTTTCTTTCTGTTGTTTTTTACTCTGGCAGTGATCCACAGTATTAATTATTGTAAAGATGTTTCATTTAGTCTGTATAAGAGGAATGCATGGTGTGTGGGATGATTTCCATCTCCTGTGCAATGGACTTTGTGAGTCACCACACGGTTACCCTGTGTGAGGTGCAGCAGAGCATGATTTCTCTCATTGCCAGCTAGAATTTTTGAATGTAGGATGACTGCACTCCTTTCTTTGTATGGCATTTTCTGTGCAGTGAAATAGCAGTTTCATCCCTTCCTCTTCTCTTTGCTGCCTTTGGCTGATAGTCCACAGCCAGTGAAGTGCCAGATGACTCCTGACTATGATGCTTTCATGTCTAGCAGCCTCATGGCTGGTTCACACAGCTTCTGACACCCTGGAGCTTCAAAAGAGGGCCAAGCTGGACACACACAAATCATTTAATTGCTGCAAGTTCACATCAGCCAAACACGTAGAATTTAAAGCTATGGAGGGGAAGGGTAAGGTTTAGGCCAGATGCCATCAAGCCAGTTTGTGTTCTAGAGGTGAGATTTCTGTGCACATGGAGGATCCATTTCTGTAGATGACACTCCCAATACTATTCACAGAGAGATGCAGCTGTTTGGAGAGTTCCCAGGCCTCAGCATATTTATTCTCCACAGACAGGCAGAGACACTTCCCTACTGGCCTCCTGGCTTCCTTTGGCTGACTTTGCCTAATGACAGGGTTTGGTCCCTTGGAGCATGCTCCTGTGCAGATTTGTGTGGCAATGTGCATATATTTCTTAAAAAAAACCCCAAAGCAACAAAGAAACATCCCTGGGGAAAATAGTTTATCCTGTAGATTCCTATCATCCAAGCTAAATGCTAAATACTAATGCATTTACAAACAGCTAGTATCTCCAAGAGCCCTGGGAGAGGTGAGTCCTAGTCTCCTAGGAAACCATGTTTTGGAGGTGAATGTACATTCCCAGGTGTCTAGTACACACAAAGCTGACTTCTGCCATCGAGGCAATTAGTAAAGGCTCTCTTAGTAGAACTTCATCTCTCTGATAGTTCTACTTCTCTGGCCACAGGCTCAAAAGCTGTTAGTTGAGGATAGGTAAAGAAAAAGAGAAAGAGAAAGGAGTCTCATAAGGCCAGTTTCCCTAAGAAAGCAGGTTTTTATGTGCTATGTTACATGTAGATACGTTGCTCAAACCCATATTGAAACGGAAATTTTTCTGTCTACAAAGACATTTTTGCTCACAAAAATTCCACTCCCAGAGAGTATCATGTTAAGCAGAAAATCCAGTGGACAGCTGAAGAGCCCTTTTGTTGACAGTCTCACCAAATCTGGTATATTCGTACAACATACTTTGTTTCTAATTGTTTTTTATTTAAAAAATAAATGATTGTAAAAGTCTCAACCAGTTATAGTTTGGAATTGATTATACTTGGATCTTGAAATGAAACAAGTGATGCAAAGGGTAGAACTAGATCTATTTTGTCAATCTATGCTGTTGTTTGTGTATATATGAGTATATATATATAAATATATATACAAATATATACTAATAGTTGGGACTTCACTTGTGCATATTTATCTGTAATGAGTGCCAGCTTAAAAAAAATAATGGTAATGCTTTACACAGACGGATAAATTTTATCCCCTTACATAGGGATTTTTTTTTTAAAGTTTCTTGGAGAATATTGTCTGCAAATGGAAACATCAGTATGTATTTCTTTCAGTGTCCCAGAGCATGCATCCTATTCATCCAATAATTTGTCCCTCATTAGCTTTCACTCACTTTCCATACCATGCACATAAAGAGCCTTCTTTATGTGCATGGAAGAGCCTTCTTCAGGTGGCATGGAATCCCACACTTGAAACTGTCAAGGAATGTATCTGTTGCAATACACATACAGAAACCAGACAGCTCTCCTAATACAGTTCGCTACTCAGCACTCTCAGATTTTGTGCAGAATTTTCATGAGTAAAACTACTCAACCAGATTGATTAGAAAACCAAATTATTTTCCACCCACATGATCTGGAAGAAAAATATATGAAATGGTAAAGGTTTTAGTAGTACTAACTAGAATTTTTTCTTTTTAAATTTCTTTTTTTTATTTTTTTTTTCTGCTTTTTGGACAATTTAACATTTATTTGTGCCAGATATAAATTTTAGGAATGTATGTTGCTGGATCATACTCCTTTCACCCCAAGGCAAAGTAATACATATTTCATGATTTTTGGTGTGATCTTCCTGAATAACAGACAGAAAAACTCATGACTGCAGAATATTACAAAGATATTTACTGTCCAAGAATCTTGTCAAAGAGGACTCTAAAAAGATAAGACACATAAATTAAGTCTCCTCCTAGGACAACAGGCTAATTCATATTAACAAGCTAACACTTATCTTAAGACTGATAACATTCAGTGTTAAGATAATACCCAATAGAATGTGAAATTAGAATTTGGAATTTGGAATAATGTTTTTTTCAAGTAAAACTTTTGAGGTAAAGTGTCAGAAAACTTTTGAAAAGTTACTGTTTCATAAATCATTTTGATAGTTGCCTTCTTCTCCTTAGTTGTCTGTAAATACTAATGCTGAAATATCAAAATTTCTTAAGGGCAAGTAATTTCAGGTTTCAATCATTTCCTGGAACTATGTAAAATTACTAATGGTGTCCCATTTCCTTCCAAAACTATTGATTCCTCATCTCACCTCTCACAAGTACCTGTCATCAAGTACACAGGGTTGGACCTGATAGATCCCTAATCTGATAGTGTAGATTACTCCTATTCTACTGAAAACTCAGTAAGGAAAATCAAATGTTTAAAACCATATGTGCATGACTAATTGCTTTATAGATCTGATCAGCTAGCATGAAGAAAGCTAAATCACCTGTAAAATTCCTAGGGCAAGGCCATCTTTTTATATAACGAAGCACTGCATCTTTTAGGGCAATACTAGAAGTGACAGTTGTTTGTAAACACTTTCAAAAAAAAAATACATTTTTGCATCTAATATAGAAAATTAAAAATGACCACTGGTTCAGCTTAGTGGGTTTTTTGAAGATTGGGAATATCCACTTTTAAAACCTTTGGAAGATAGGTTTGTAAATCAAAGATGTTTGTGATGAGCTTTCTGCTTTGTTTCTTTGTAATTTTTACATATGTCT